GTAGAGACGGGGTTTCACCATGTTGACCAAGATGGTCTCGATCTCTTGACCTCGTGATCCACCTGCCTCGGCCTCCCAAAGTGCTGGGATTACAGGCGTGAGCCACCGCGCCCGGCCCGGTAAGGAGGCTCTTAATGCTCTTAGGCCCTACTCGCAGGCTGCCCCTTGGAATGGCTGTTCCAATCCAGCCCTCCCTACCCTCTCACCTTCCAATCAGTGCTCTCTGCATGGCTTCCTGGCTGTATGGGCACTTCCCAATGACCACTGCTGATAGGTAGATGGGCTCTTCCAGGAAGTGCATCAACAGTGCCCCCTGGCATCCAAGAACATTCCATCGGGCCATCTTGTCACTGCAGGACATGGAGCGAGTTCTGTCTCCACGGCCAGGCTTCACTCGGAGCAGCCCCACCTGGTGAAACGCAGCACCAGGCTTCCCAGAGTCTCCAGCTTCTCCAGGTACACATTTGGCTCCAGTTCTATAAACGTCTATCACTTTGGCACTATCAGGGGCTATTCTGGTGACAGCAGCCAGTTCTTCTACAGTGAGATTACAGCTGTTGATGCCTGGTGAGATTGGGTCACCTTCCTGCTTACCAAGACTGTGAGGGTGAGCTGCTCCGTTCGTGACCTCCTTGGCAGCAGTACCAGGCTCAAGCTTCACTTTTTTGGTTACAGGACTGCCAAGGTCTTCACATTTTCTTTCATATCCAGGAGCTTCCAGGTTACTACTGGCTTCTACTGATGGGTTGTTGGCCCAATCTCTGATGACAGGACAGCAAGGCTGATCTTCAAACTCAAGCTTCGGAATGATGGAGGCATCCCCACCTGCAGAGAATAAACCACCACCTTAAACAAATGGTTCTCAAAGTGAGGTCCCTGGACCAACCACAGTGGGATCTCTTGAAAATTCATCAGAAATGCAAACTCTTAGGACCCACAGCAGACCTGCTCAATCAGAAACTCTGGAGACAGGGCCCAGCAGTGTTTTTTTTTTGTTTGTTTGTTTTTTCTTTGAGATGGAGTCTCACCCTGCCCCCCTGGCTGAAGTGCAGTGGCGTGATCTCGGCTCACTACAACCTCCGCCTCCCAGGTACAAGCAATTCTACTGTCTCAGCCTCCCAAGTATCTGAGACAACAGGCACATGCCACCACGACCAGCTAATTTTTGTGTTTTTAATAAAAACAGCATTTCACCACGTTGGCCAGGATGGAATTTTTTTTGTTGTTGTTGCTAATGGATGAGACGTTTTTATGTTTCCCAGGCTGGCCTCGAACGTGTAGCCTTGCCTCTTCGAGTGCCAGAACAACAGGACTGAGCCACTGCGGCCCCAGCAGTGTGTTTTTAATAAGCTCTCCAGGTGATTCTGATGCAAGGTCAAGTTTCAGAACAACTACCTTAATGTATTCTCCTAGCTGACTTGAGATGAGTTAAGAGCACATGCACAAATTTCCCTAATAAGAATTCTATGCGGCTCTTGTTGAGGCCTATCCTAAACTCAGTGAGCTGGAATTTCTAGAGAAGAGGAGTATGAAAAGTGGAATATTTTAACAAAGATCTGAGGTAGTTTTTATCACTGGGAAGTTTTGGAAACACTGGTTTAGACCAGGGTTTCTCAACCACTGTACTAATGACTTTTTTTTTTTTTTCTTTGAGACTGAGTCTTACTCTGTTGCTCAGGCTGGAGTGCAGTGCCATGACCTCGGTTCACTGCAGCCTCTGCCACCTGGGTTCAAGTGATTCTCCTGCCTCAGCCTCCCCAGTAGCTGGGATTACAGGTGCCTACCACCATGCCTGGCTAATTTTTGTAGTTTTAGTAGAGATGGCGTTTCACCATCTTGGCCAGTCTTAAACTCCTGACCTCATGATCCACCTGCCTTGGCCTCCCAAAGTGCTTACAGGCATGAGGCACAGAGCCCGGCCCACATTTTTTTTTTTTTTTTTTTAGATGGAGTCTGGCTCTGTCACCCAGGCTGGAGTGCAGTGGTACGATCTTGGCTTTCTACAACCTCTGCCTCCTAGGTTCAAGAGATTCTCCTGCCTTAGCCTCCCGAGTAGCTGAGATTACAGGCGCACATCACCACAACTGGCTACTTTTTGTATTTTTAGTAGAGACGAGGTTTCACAATGTTGGCCAGGCTGGTCTTGAACTCCTGAGCTCCAGTGATTGGCTTGCCTTAGCAACCCAAAGTGCTGGGATTACAGATGTGAGCCACCGTGCCTGGCCACTAATGACACTCTGAACTGTATCACTCTTTGCTGTGGGGACTGTCCTGTAAATTATAGAATATTTAGCAGCATACCTGGTCTCTACCCACTAGATACCAATAGCACTACCAGTCCCAGTATGAAAATAAAGAATGTGGCCAGGTGTGGTGGCTCACACCTGTAATCCCAGCACTTTATGAGGCTGAGGTGGGTGGATCACCTGAGGTCAGAAGTTCACGATAAACCTGGCTACATGATGAAACCCAATTTCTACTAAAAATGCAAAAAATTAGCTGGGCGTGGTGGTGCACGCCTGTAATTCCAACTACTTGGGAGGCTGAGGCAGGAGAATCACTTGAACCTGGGAGGTGGAGGTTGCAGTGAGCCGAGATTGTGCCACTGCATTCCAGCTTGGCAACAAGAGCAAAACTCTATCTCAAATAATAATAATAAAAAAGAAGAATGGGTCCAGATGTATCCAAAAGTCTCTTGGGGAGTGAAACTTCCCAAGTTGAGGACCACTGGCTTAGAATGAACAAGGTTTCACAAGTGCATTTTGTGGAATGCTATTCCATAAGATGCTTTGGAAAACAAAAGTGGGTGGTTTATTTCATAGTTAAAATTTGGCAAACACTGCTCAAAATTTCCCCTTCTTGGAGTTTTTATGATGCATGGCCCCACAGTAAAGACTCTAAAGTAAATTATACACCTAGTTAAAACCAATGTTTCCAAAATTTCCAGTGTTTCCTCTTGCTGGTTTAGAGATTTCTGAACTCCTCTGTCCTTACAGGAAACCAAAGAAAACCAGAGGTCAGTAAGAAGCACAGCTCTCCCTTAAGGAAAGATTTCTTCAAACACTAACCTAATGAGTGTTGCTTTTCTAAAGTGTATAAATTATACATTTGCAATCTTTATAACCCAAGAGTGGGAAAGACAAGAGATACAGAAGTGGAAATATATCTGGAGAGGTTGGCTGGCTGACTTCCAGAGGCCTCACAAAGGCACAGTGACTTTGGAGAACTCATCAGGGTCCATCTCCCACTTTGCAGGCCTGGAGATTTGATCATAACAGAATGCCTGAACACGAGAGCCTGACTCATGCTAATAAAACTCCTAAGTAAGATCCTGAAGTAGCTAACCCAGCCAGCAAATTATTAATTAGCAATAGGAAGTAAATGCCAAGGGAGCCAGAAAGTCACATTCTCTAGGTAATGTTCTTTCTCTCTACAGACAAACCACGGGAGACATCACATCTTAAAAGATTACCAGCAAAATTTCCAGAAGATTTTAAGATGAACAGAGAGTTGCCAACTTCTTATTCCATTAAGTAAGATCTTTAAAAATCTCAATTACCGCTGGGCACAGTGACTCATACTGTAATCTCAGCACTTTGGGAGGCTGAGGCAGCTGGATCACTTGAGGTCAGGAGTTCGAGACCAGCCTGGCCAACATGGTGAAACTCCGTCTCTACTAAAATTTCAAAAAAATTAGCTGGGCGTGGTGATGTGCACCTGTAATCCCAAGCACTTAGGAGGCCAAGGCAGGAGAATAGCCAGAACCTGGGAGGTGGAGGTTGCAGTGAGTTGAGATAGAGAAGAAAAAAAAAAATTTTCAATTACCATCACTTAAAAAAAGAAAACCCCCATATCCTTTAAAGTGAAAGAAATTAGTTTTGCAAAATTCACTACACAATCTTGAACTTTCTTGATTTATTCATGGACTGTTCTCACAGATCAGCACCCGTTTGTAGACCACTGACTTATGGAGTTAAATTAGGCTAATTTTGTATTTTTAGTAGAGACAGGGTTTCTCCATGTTGGTCAGGCTGGTCTTCAACTCCCGATCTCAGGTGATCCACCTGCCTTGGCCTCCCAAAATGCTAGCATTACAGGCATGAGCCACCATGCCTGGCCAGTAGAAGTTATTTTCAACCTTTAAAAAAGAAAAACAAAAGATATAAATGACTCCACACCCCCTTGCCCCGCCCCCCGCTAGGTCTTCCTATCTTATGCAACCACAGTACCTGAACATACCCTTATAACCCCACAAAATTTACCCTGTGACTGTCTACATTCCCTAAAAGACGGTACAAAGGTAAGCAATGCGTTAGTCTTATTCACTTCTGTATACTCAGTAGTCATATTGTACCTGACAAATAGTAGAAAGTATCTGTTCAATGACTGAATAAATTAAATGAGTTTCAGGATAAATTACCATAGGACTTCTAAGCCCCATGTTGGCTTCACATTTGTGGGGTTTTAGCCTTAGGCTCCTAATCCTGATTCTGAGAATTGACTATGAGTGGGACTCTACATCCCTTGCCTCTGCCTTCTCTTTAGATGAAACCTTTAGAAGTGATTGGGGCCGCCGGGCGCGGTGCCTCAAGCCTGTAATCCCAGCACTTTGGGAGGCCGAGGTGGGTGGATCACGAGGTCAAGAGATCGAGACCATCCTGGTCAACATGGTGAAACCCCGTCTCTACTAAAAGTACAAAAAATTA